AATGCAATGCAAAATTTACCTTTGTCAATTTGCTTGAACCTCCATAGGATAGTTGATAGTTAAGAACACCTAGAGAAGCTATTCTTAATCTAAACTTGAGCTTGATAAAAACAATAAAAATCCTATTACAAAATTGTCAAGGGAAGCCAAAAGAAATTCTCAAAATTCATACATTAACACTGGGCCATGAGATAGAGAGCCTATAGAGAGCCTACATCCAATTCTTCATAATCCCCACATCTTCCTGCATATGGTAACAGACAAATATATATCATTGTAAGGAAGAAAATAAAAATTGGGGATCTCATCTTCAATATGCCCTCTGTTTTCTTGAGGCTCCCAAATTATGTCATTATTGAACTTTGTCACGGTGATATTGATCAATAGCGACATCTCCATTGCTCCTATCCTTTATTCTTTATGCAAATAACCATAGAAAATATTGTAAGTAGAAAGATCGGGGAAATCATATGACGCAATATAACATGCATATACATTTTGGGTAATTGAAGTGTGGTACTGGAGTAATATATATATAATAAACAATTCAATAATGTAAGGGAGTAGCCATCACGTGGTGCACGTTTGGCTTCGTCCACCCCAAAACCAATTAATAATGAGTGGAGTAGCCCAACTCCTTATAAGTCCATGTAAATGGGGAGTACTAGCCCAACTCCTTCTATAAGCCTATGTAAGGTTCTTTTAACTTTCTAAGACATTTCTTCACATCCTCACAGTAATTAGAAACCTTTGCAATAGCCAATGGGATGTAGCACAATGAAAAAGGGCATTGACATACCAGCGATCTTATGTTCGAACATCCACGGCACCTTGACAATGTGTGTGAGAAACCACCCTTCCTTTTCTTAAATTTGGCAATGAAAGAAACCTTTGCAATATATTTTATATACTTTTAAGGAATTAAAAATGATCATTTAAAGCTAAAATTTTTGCCATCTATTAAAATTGTTAAAGATAATCTTCTTTTACTAAATTAGTTGAGATATAACTTCGTTGAACAGCCGCCTGAGCAAAATGGGTTCAAAGAGGGAGAAAAACTTTGTTCTTAACAAGGGGAAAAGGGGCGGAGAGTATGTGAAAGTCCATTAGTTGAGAGTCCATAAAAGATTTGACCGCATCTCCATTTGAACCAGTCTTGAGCTGCTTGATTTTTCAAAGCAAAGATTGCAAATAGATTTGTATGTGGATTCGCAAACAAAGTCATTAGTGCATGCTTATCATTCATATATTAATTTATTGTGGAAGGTATAACTTCGACGCCAAAGTATGTACAGTACTGTGGCAATTGGACAAGCAGTCATCGATCTGAAAAATCATCATTACTTCTGCACGTAATTTCTTGCTGTTATCTCCTAATGCGTGTGCAGCATATATACAATTTAATTAAGCATTATATATATATATATTTGAGGGACGACCTTTCGGGTAACTGTACGATTTTTTTTTTAATGATCCAAACCATCTATTTATTAGGTCTTCATTTATGGATCATCCTTACAAAAAATTGGAAACCATTTAGACATTTAATTGCATCCTACAAAATCAATGAATACGGTACTTTAAAAAAGTACTAAAATTTGAATAATTTAATTGAGTGGTCAAATGATATCAGATCCAAGTGATTTTTTTTTTATAAATATAATCTTTGAATGAATATCTACAAAATAGACAATTTGGATTAATGAAATACAATACAGAGTAGGCCCTACAAGGGTATCCCTCAAAGCGTCTATTTTTCAAGTCTTTGGGGTTTGGATTATTTGAGGAACACACTTTAGGGTATCCTACGAATATTTTTTAACAATCCAAACCATCTATTTTTCAAGTTTTCATTCACCCTAAACTAATAAAAGGTACCTACAAATTAACCATTCGGATAATTTTGGCCGGTTTCAAAAAGAGTTGACATTCTAAAAGTTTATTAAACTCGGTTTGGTGGTTGTTAGATTGTTAAGCTTCTGTTAAGGTAAGCAAAGCTATACACGAGAACAGATTAAGATTTTCTCTCTTGTCTGATTCTGCTTGTTCTAAACTGCTATCAGTATTGTGCATGTGAATAATGTTAAATGTTAAATTAGAAGATTTGGCAGTGTGTTTGGAGTGAATTCGAAGCTTTAGTTTTGACATGTATATATCTGCAGGCAATTGAATGAAGCTTTGATACAATTTTGTGAATGCATATGTTGATTATCTGGATGATGAATTTTTTTTTAAAAGCGTCCAATCTGGCGACTCCAACGAAACCTCTACCAACCAAAAAGTCGTTTGCTTGGATGCTCAAGAAACCAGTTATCATCCTCTTGTCTCAATTTCCCGTTCCTTATGAAAAGGCAGGTCTAGTAATTTGTATGTGCAAAACCATTCATCGTGAAATAATAATAGCTTAAACTAGTAATTTGATGTGTACCTTTAGACCAATGGGGATCCCATTATGCTCAGCTGCCACAATATAAATGAATGTCATAATCTAATTAGTCTAAATTTGGATTAAGTTTTCAGTAACTCACATGAAAGTGTAACGCGAGAGTCTGTTGTATAACTTGGATAACTACTCTTATGTGCATCGCTTGCATAGTAACTAGCATCGTAACTAGCATAGTAATTTATTCCAAAAAAATCCAAGGACCCAGCTAGCAACTTCGATTGAGCTCTAGTAAATTTCGATAACCGTCTACTGAGAATGGCTAGCATGCGGCGAGGATATATTCACCACTTGTGAGTGGCTCCGCTGCTCCGCAAACCTAAAAAATGAAATTCCAAGTATGAAGTTATTACTAGTACAAGGCATTGCTAGTTAATAAATTATTCACAAAGAAAAAATTAAAATCAGTTGATATTGTAATTAACAGTATACTTACCATCCATACATAAAATCTAAAACCCGTAAGGCAGCTTCTTTATTTTTCTTTGACTCCGAAAGAGGCACAAACCAGTGTGTCACAATTGTTATCCCTATCATCCCCTTTTGAGATGTCTGCACAAAGACATGAATTTTGGTTTATTTAGAATGAAAACAGATGGTAAAACCTTTGTTTATTTCGGTATAGAAATAATATTATTGATTCATATAGAATTCTCAATGAATACCCAATATTGCACAAAATAAAAGAGAAACAATTTAGCAAGACATGATATTTAGTCTTGTACAATTTTACAGTACTTGCATGAGCAAGTAGGAGGTGGTGTGTCACCAAATATGGTTCAGTATCCGAATTGCCGCCGGTGCGAAGGCCCCGGTTGCATAACCATTGTTACTATTGTTGTGTGAAAACACACTAAGACCTTGTCGTTGATGGACTATGTGACGGCACACACACATTGAAGAGAGAAAGTAAACACACTCAAGAACACAAAGATTTATAGAGGTTCGGTCTCGTGCCTACATCCCTCTTGGTAATCCACCCGAGAAATTCACTAGTATATAAAGAAAACTTTGGTTACAATAATCAAGAACCCCCTAGCAATGTGAGTCCCACCTTAGAATTCAAAGTAAACATGCCAGAATGTATAGCAAACATTCATAACAATAGAGTCAACTGAAGAAGTGAATAAGTAATTGTCCATTTGAATGAATTTTGAAACAAGACAGAACTACAATACCGCTGTACAGCTTTCTCATACGGTTCTTCATTTTTCCAATCAAAAGAAAGGAAAACTGAAATGTCAAGCTCAGCAACGTCAGATTTTGAAGAATCATCCCAAGGTTCAGTAGCTGCACCATCTTGCCCTGGCGTCTGGAAAAGCTGTTGAAACACTACTGCTACCAACAATGTCATCAACTTTTGACTCAGTATCACTATCAATCTCACGTAGTCTCTTGATCCACCGTCACCATCAGGTGCCTGCAGCAATCCAGTGTCCAAGGAGCTCGATATAGACTTAACACTCTAAGCACTTACTGCAGTCAGAAGACCTAACTGGGAGCGCAACGAAGAAAAATTCAGATCATGTATTGTAGAAGCCTCACCATCAGTAGCACAAGAGACTACATCTTCTACCTAGAGAAACTAGAAAAGTGGAGCCATCTTTGCATGCAACTGAGACATATAAGAACACCTATAATATTTACCTTCAGAAAGTAAGATGTCAGCAATTTCATATTAACTGATTCTGTACTATCATCTTCAAATATCAGCATCTATTTCTATCATTTGGAATAATGAGGTCATCAAATTTTGTTTGACCTGGGTGATCATTATAGTTTATAAATAAACTACCATTTTCTTATAGGTTAAACTACCTTTGCAATCCAGTGATCTATAACGAATATCCAAAAAGCAATTCATGCACAAGAACCAATTGATCATCATATGAATTCCCAGAGAAGAAAAAGCTTGTAACTCACAGGTTAAGTAGCTTAGATGGTGAGGACGTAATACAGTTAATGCCTCCTTCCACTGCCACTGGCGTTCAGATAACGGAAGAAGACGCTGCAAAATTGACAACTGCCATTCCCACTCGTCAATGAAATGTTTGGCAATTGACGCTCTCCACTCCAATGCTTGTCTTCCACCCCTACTTATGCCATCGCTTAGAGCATGATCTAGTTCAGTTATAAACTTATAGTTGAAGGAAGACAGTGATGTAATATATCAAGTAGTTCCTCGTGAAAGATACAACTAATTTGTTTCCCTCTTCACGTGTCAGATCAGTTTGCTCCGAAGCACATGTGTAATGTGATTCAGAATAGCTCCAAGGTGAGGCACAATGAGCCAAATTGAGAGAAAGATCATCCATATTTAAAAGCGAACTTATGACATTCACCATCATGATCTGCATCATTACAGAAGCATTATAAAATCATTACAATGAAGAACAGGAAAAAAGATGCAGCAAACTAATAAAACTGATGATATATATCGCAAACAAATTGAGAGCATTTACATTTCAAAGGAAAACATGAAACTTCACCAGTCATAGTCCTTCATCACTCCAACCGCAAGAACAGCTAAATCCAGAGCATACCACATGTGCATAAGTTCAATATGCTGCATCCTACCATATAATAAAATAGAACAGAGAAACGCGAAACCATCAACATGTGAAGAAAAGCATGTCAAATCCCAAACGGACAAAATATGAAATACATTGAGTGCAAAATTCATTTGCAGATCTAATTTAAGGGTTGGAGAAATCCATTTCTGGGATTGGGGCATAATTCTCCCTTGGATGCATAATGCATTGGCCTTCTTCCATTTCATTCCCCTCCACCTCCCCGCCCCCCGCACACGCACACACACAACAAAAAAGACTCCCACAAACTTGCGAGTTACAACACAATATGATAGTATTATTATATTAACGTATCAAAACTAACAGAAATATTATATTAGCTTCTCTTGGGGCGTGTTTGTTAAAGCATTTCAAGACTACTTTGGTGTAACTCATGTTGATTGGGCAAAGTTTTGGGCTGAATGCAATTTGATTTCATATGTCATGTCATGATTGTTGGTCTGATTTTGATGGTTTTCTACAAGATATCTTTGAATACGAAAAGAACAAAGAAACAGTTTTCCTTTCTCTGTTTTCTTTCTAGCTCGTCTTTGTAGGTTTTCTTCCTCTGTTTTGAATAAGATACAGTTTTCCATGTAAAAAGAACAAAAAAATAGACCAGAACAAGATTATTTTGAGGATTTTGAGGACTTACCCGAAGTGGACTTTGATTTCCAGTACGAAATTCTCAACAAAAGGGTCTAGCAGGTGATCTTCGCATGCTATTTGTTCTTTAGCAGACAACATCAACGATAATTTTCAATTCCATGCTTGACCAGAATTGACGCCGGCAACATAAGAGGCAAGATCAAGCCGATAAGATAAAGAATCACAAGGAAATTTTCGACAAATCGAGCTAGGCGGCCTGGGCGGCTCTGTGGAATATAAAATTAGTTTCTTTATGTTTTTTTATTTTCTTTTTTGTAATTAAACAATATCTTTGCTTTATTTTAATTAATTTTATTAGTAAGTATGTTTTAATTATTATTTCTTTAGTGAACAATTAGTATTAAATATTTTAATTAAATTCATAAATTATATTACTTAATGAATAGTAATTATTATGTTTTAATATTTTTCGGACTTTAATTTTCATAGGGATAATTTTTTTTTTTTGGAATAGCTAATTAATTAATATTTTAATTGAAAAATATCTTAGTCTTATTTAATCAATATAATTACTAATTAGCTTTTAGTTATTATTCGTTTCATAAATTACTTATCAAATAGTAATTAATTTTTATGAATTATTTTGTGCTCTTAAAAACCAAGAAAGTGGTTGCAACATAGTAAGTATATATCACAAAAGAACCAATACATACATATAGTATGCTTGATTTGCTTATGAACTTAGTTCTTGATTGATTGGTTTGTAGTGGTTACATGTCCTTAGAATACGCAATTGATGGGTTCTACTCGATAAAATCCGATGTCTATAGTTTTGGTGGGTTGGTGGTAGAGATAGTGAGCGGGAAGAGAAACATAGGATTTACTAATTGCTTTTTTTTGTTTTTGTTTTTTTTTTGGTTTCTTCTTTTAAGTAAGCACAATGATTTTGAACTTTTGATAAATTCTTTTAGGCATGGATGCTATACACAGAAGGCTGGTCCATTGAAGTGCTTGATACATCAATAGGGGACTTAGGTGATATCCTCAAGAAGTTGTGAGATTATTTCATGCATGTAGGTCTTTTTTGTGTGCAGCGTAACCCGGGAGATAGGTTGAGCATGCTAGTTATAGTTCAAATGCTAAGTGGTGAAGGGTCATTGCCTCAACCTCAAAAACCTTGTTCTTATAGTGAAATGGATCTCAATGAATCAACGTCAGTCATTCTTTTAAAGCATTTTCAACAAATGAACGCAAGTGCTTCAAATTTGGGGCAAAGATTCATGAAGTTCCAAATTGTGTGAGGATGGATCTCCTAAAATGCCACTACAATGTGCACGTGTTATAAGGTATGCAATTACAGTCACTTCAATCATATGCACTTTCCGAGTTAGTAATATGGGAAACCAGTCTAGAATTTTCATATTCGTTAGAGAGCATGTGTTTTTTGTCGTTTTTTACCATTGTCTGATATTTACTATGTGTAGTCTAAGATGGCTATTTCGACTTTAAAGACTATTTTGAATCTCTATGTGATGTTGTGGACTGTAGTAAAGACTTCTATTTGCTTTGAAAGCTATTTAGAGGCTCAGGTAATTATTTCTATTTACTTGGCGGTCCCAACCCAAAGCATATATATACAGTTTGAGTTTGGTGTTGTATAACTTACTAAGAAGACTTGGGGAACTGAACCATGCATATTCCCTTCTAATGGCTAGCTCACCCTTACCCTAACCCTCATCCACAGACTAGTAGTAACATTTTACATATTGAATAAATGGCCAATAAGCTCTCCAATAACATATTTGTTCTAGCTAAGCAGCTGTGGCAATGAGAGGGTACTAAAGAGACAGATACTACTACTTGTATATATATATATATATATGGAAGTGGATCTGCGGCACCATATTTTTGACAAAAGTTTTGACGCAAGTTCTTGACGCCCAATCAAAAGGGTATGGCCGCCCGGCTATACTATTTTTTATAATAAAATAACCGTAGCATAGCCGTGCGGCTATACTATTTATTAAAAAAAATAAATTAAAAAAAGACCCTTCTATTTGCATTAGTTTATACTTTATAGATATTAATTTTCTAGTTTCGATATATATACTTTATAGATTTAAATTTTTCAATATATATTATTTTTATTCAAAATTTTGTAAAAAATCAAGTGTATTAGACATGAAAACTACATACGTACGTGTAAAATACGAGTATTAAATATGAAAATGCTAAATTTTTTATACGGCTAATAACTCTGAAAAAGTAAAAACTCAGAAGGGTACAATAGAGGCTCGTGTGAAGGCCTAATAGTAATGGAAAATGCTCTAAACTATCGATTAACAAAAATTGGGGAAAAAAGATAATAGTATACATGTAAAGAGTATAGCGCGGCTATACGATTTATAAAAAAAATTTAAAAAAAAGACCCAAGTATAGCCGCACGTCTATACGTTTTATTTTTATAAAAAAATCCCTATTATATCCGCTCGGCTATACTATTTTCAGTAGAAGAGTTCAAATCTGGCTCAAAACTAAGCACCACAAGATGCTAGAGGAAAAGACCATGAGGTTCTAGAGGTACATATCATCTTAATGATAAAATAAGATGCTTATTTATATTTGAAGTATCAGTGTGACCTCAAATGACATTGTTTTAGACTATTAGTTAACAATATCTTCACATAAAACATAAAACAAAGAATCTGAACTCCATAAGTATGCCAGGAAACTTAGTAAAGGCTTTTACTGTCACTTAACATCAACTGTAGGAGACTTAATGGAGCCAAAAGGATACATATCTCCAAGGACACCCAGACTGCTGCTACCCGTTGTATTCATACTCACAGCAGATATTGCCGGGTTAGGGAAAACTTTGAAAGGGTGCTATAGTGTCACTTAACCTCAACTGTAGGAGTATCCTTGAAGTCAGAAGGATCTACATATCTCCAAAAGAGTGCTAGACTGCTTCCCATTATATTCATAATCATAGCAGACAATGTTGCGGGTAATGCAACCATTGGCGAGGTGAAATGAGAAGTGGCCAAAACCACACCTAAAGAAGAATTTTGCATACCAACCTGCTAGTGTCAAACATGTAAATGAAGGATTAGTGTTGCATCCCCACCAAAATTTATGAAAGTTTCGACATTTCAATCTGAGCATAAAACAATGAAGATCTTCTATGGACTTACAATAAAGTTTAAGAAGAGAATTTTTATATCTTTATTACCAATTTGACCAAAGCCAAAACAAAATTGGAACACAAGGATTCACAGAAAGCCAGATCATGTCTTAAGGTTTACATTCTATTTGATTAATACCTGGATTGATATTGCTCGTCTTTGTGCTTCTCTAAACCCGCAAACAGCTGCTGATATATACCTGCAAATTAAGACTCTCCTTGATAAAAAAAGGACTCCTCAAGTTGCACATTTGCACCGCAATAACTCCCAAACAAACTAAACAAACAGGCCAGCACCACAACCTTAAAGAATATTTGTATGAGTGCAAACTCTACCAACAATGCTCGTATACAAAACTAGCTTCTATCTTCATATGTCAAATTAAAATCCACATAGACAAAGAAGATTGAATATATACTTTCTTACTACAATAGCTTTTATGGCTATGAACTCATAATGATAGCAAACTATAGTTTCTCAACTGTTGCTTACAAATTATGAGTACTTTGTTTTTTCAAAGTATAGTTAACTTCACTCTATGATTTATATATCAAACTTGACAGAAGCTAAATCAAACAGCAATAATACACTAATACAAGGCTACAACGTAATTTTTTTAGAATTTTTGAGCTAAAATTAGAGTGAATCTTTACATACTGAAAAAAATGTATACATTACCTTGAGCTTTTTCCACAACAACACACTTAACAATTAAAGTCACCAACAGTGAAAGTAGCATTAGATAATGACGTTTTGGAAAACCCACAAAATTACCAAAATTCCAAAGGAATTATTCACTATGAAAATTAATGGAAATTCACACCAATAATTTATACCACAATATCAATTTACAATTAGAATTCAATGCATGTACACTACAAAAATTTTCACAATAAAAAAATTGTGTTTATCTTGTTCCATAACTTCATCGCTCTACATAATGGTCACAAAACTTGCTCACTCATGCCTAACTTCATCCATCTGCTCGTGTGTTGGCAAACTTGCTCCCAACAAGCCTTCAAGGATTTTAGGACTCAAGCTGCTTGAGAATAGATAGGTTGTAGCAGAAGAGAAAACCATTAATGGATTATTAGAATAGATATATATTATGAAGCCAATGAGTGGCTGGCAGCTGGGGGAATTTAGAGTAGATTTCTTTTTGGGTAAAAAGGGAGGCTACAACACTGTAGCCGTCACTTTGACAGAAAGAGAGAATTTTGTGAGCCTTTCTTCGCTGCTTTTCTTCCTTCTCAGTGAAGTATGGGTTTTCATTATGAGATTTTGAAAAAATGGTTTTTAAAATCTGCTTTGATATTTGAAATCATCTTCACTCATTCATTCATCATTTTTGAGAGAGAGAGAGAGAGAGAGAGAGAGAGAAAGGGAGTCATCTTCTTCTTCTCTTCTTCTCCTTTGCAAATGATGAGATGAGTGAGATATGAGGTTTCCAAAATGAGATTTTCAAATTGTTTTTGAAATCTGCTTTGTTATTCAAAATCTGCATCCAGGATAGTTAAACATATTCTCATTCATATCTAGATCAAATTCTTGGATTATTTTCTTCCAGAATGGTTTCTTGAAGAAATCGATCTTTTATTCATTGAATCTACATATTCATCGATCTATCAATCTGGAGCTGAGTTGCAGTGCCATGGGGTGAAGGAGCTGATGGACTAGTTGCTATTTCCATCAAGGTCAAGCTACTAGCTCAACTAAGTTTGGAGAAGAAGGTTGCACATGGAGGTAGTGCTCATTTTCCTAAATAGACTTAGGATTGCTTGAGCTTGTGATTACTTTTTTTGTAAGAACCTTCTTAACTTAGTGGATTACCTGGTCAGAGTGATGACCCCCAGTTTTCCCAATGGTGGGTTTCTGCGTAAACATTTCTGGTGTGATTCTCTAATATATATGCTTAGTTATATTGTTTGTGTTATATCTGAAATGTTGATGAATGTTCACACACCTATCATTCTAATTGTTGCTAGCACAGGAGATGCCTAGATTGATGGGTCCTTCTGAGTGCATAGATTGTCACGTAGTTATCTT